ACGACCCCTTTGAGCAGTTTGCCACCGCCATCGGCGACGGCTGCCTGGCAGAGGGCATGACCATCAGCAACCCGCTGGGCCCCGCCTTCAGTGCCGCCAGGTATGGGCCGCTCAACTGCAGCGACCCCAATGCCAACGGCCCGCTGGCCTACATCGGGCAGCCCGAGGTGTCCACAGACGAGTTTGGGGTGATCCTGGTGCCCAACGACATGTGTTCCATCGACTGGGAACAATCAGGGTAGGCCCGCCAGCACAGCGGGGGAAGGCCCCCCCAACTGGGGCGGCAAACACCCAGCCTCAACCTGTCGCTGCCATGTGGTGCAGTCGCACGCAGCCCCGGCCCCCGCGCAGGCCCCACGCCACGCGCCTGCACCCCGCCGCCCCTCCCTACCGCCTGCGCAGGTACAACAACCCTGCCACCAAGCTCACTCTCACTCCCGACGCGCTTGTCACCATCCGGTCGTTGTACGTGGACTGCGAGGGCGCCGAGGAGATTGGCACCCTGCTCAACGTCCCCTACGTGTATACATCATCCGCCTCAAACCCAGCTCTGGCGCCGCGGTGAACGTGACCATCGACGAGAGCTACGGCGCCTGGGACCTGCCCTCCCCGCTGGTCATCGACGGCACGCAAGGCGCCAGCGCCACCATCGAGGTGCTGGATGCGACGGCCGGCTTTGGCCAGCCCTGGAACATAAACAACTGGCCGTTCGTGTACGTGGTGCAGCTGTGCGAGACGTCGGCAGCCGTGTGCGCGCAGCTGCTGGGACGAGTAAAGCAGCGCGCGCTTACGTCCGCGCCAGCATCACTCTTCCGTCTTGCCGCTGCATGGTGTGACCCCCTTGTTGCCCGAGAAAATGAGGGTGACGCGGCCTCCTGTTTGTGATGCACCCATTTTGATGCGTGCCTTTTTTACCAATAAGGGAGACTGGACCGCACCAGGGGCAGCAAGGCCAGGCGGCGGGTGCAGGCAGCTGGCTTGCGGGTGCGGCGTTGCTGGGCTGAGCAGCCCCGGCTGCATTGAAGTGGGCTTGTCTCTGTGCTCTCAAAAGTTCCGTTGGGAGCATATTGAAGCTTTGATGCCCACCATCATGCGACGGTGCGCCAGCGCTGCGCGCGGGCCGCGCGGGCCGCCGCCATACAGGTTACAAGTCCCCACGACCTTTCTCCGCCACCGCCAAGCACCCACCTTCAGGATTACCCGACCAGCCTTTGATCAGTGGTTCTTACTGCATTTGTTTCCGTGATTCTGCATATTGGTTGGGCCAGACGTTGCATGAGTGACTGACCGAGCTGCCCAATGTGTGTGTGTGTGTGTGTGTGTGTTACAGGGATTGGGCACATTAATGTGCTGGGGCCGAACCCGCTAACCCTGCCGGCTGTCCAGAGCGAGGAAAATCTGGCCGCCGATGGCATCCCGGGGAGGCTCCGTCTTGCAAGCGCCATGCCGGTCTGCCGGGCAGCCGTCCGCCGCCCAGATGCCGCCACGAAGGTGCCGTGAGGCAAAGTCCCAGCTAGTGTCCCGGCTGGAGTTCGAACTGACTGACTGACTGACTGACTGACTGACTGACTGAGACTGACTGAGATTACAGAGAACCGGGCCCTTTAAAGGGCTGGGGACACACAAGCCGTGCCCACTAGCTCTGGACAATATAAGTATGAAACCAACCAACAGACCGGGCGGCGGAGCGCGGGGCTGCGAGGAGCCGATCGGGCACAGCGGGCGGCAGGGAAAACGGAGGGTGCCTGGGAGCCAGCCCAGTGACTGTCAGAGAGGTGTGAGGAGGGGAAACGGGGGGCAAAAGACAGGGGAAAGAGGGGGGTCAAGGGCCAGGACCGCCAGCAGGCGGCGCAAGCAACTCAGAGACGCCACCCACCCCGGCACAGAAGCTGGGGGAGCGGCCAGGCGGGCGGGCGGGGACCGCCTCAGAGGGCAGGCGACACAGGGGGTCAAGGCTCAGGTCAGATCACACGGGAGAAGGGGGCAGCCAGCTGCCAACGAGGAGAGGGGAGAAAGGGGGACGCCAGAGAAAGCACACCGAGCGGCGGCGCGGCAGGCACAGCAGCGCACGAGCAAGCACAGGCGCACAGGCACAGCAGCACACTGCCGGCGGGTCCCCGATGGCGTGACTGCGGAAAAGCGCAACCACCTCCACTGGTTCCAAGCACACCTCGCACGGCGCAATAGCCAGCCAAGGGGCACCACAGCCAGGCAGCAGCCGACAGCGCACGGGCAACCAGATGCAAGCCGGCACAGCAGGCGAGCAACGCGACAGCAAGGCGGCGGGCACAGGGCAGGCAGGCAGAAGATGGGCAAGAGGGAAGACGGTAAAGGTAAAGGTAAAGGTAAAGAGGGAAGACGGACACGAGAAAAGGGGTGAGGAGGGCACAGTCAGGAGAAAGGCGGGGAAGGGCCAGCGGAGCTGACTGACGATCAAGCAGGGGGAGGAACAGGAGGGGGGCGGAGCCGAACGCGGCCGCCGGTAGAGAAGAAAAAGGGGTGGGCAGGGCCAAGGCTGTCAACCCAAGAGGCGGGGGCACAGCCCAGGGCCTCAAAATCAGCGAGAAGGGACCAGAAGGACTGGAGAGCCGCGCGGCGGGCAGCCTCCAGCGGTGTGGCTGCGGGCTGCGGTGCTGCGGGGCCAGGCGCGGCCGGCTCCAGCGGCGGGGGCGGCGGGTCCTGAGTGCCGCCGCCGGAGGAGGCTGCGCCAGCAGCAGGCCGCGAGGCCGGCTGGTGCAGGAAGCCGTCGAGGGTGAGCTGGGTGAAGCGCGGTCCGGCGGGCTGCGCTGGCGGGGCGCCACGACGGCGCAGCACCTCGGCCGCCAGGCTGCGGCGGCCCCGGTCCATGGCCTCCACAGCGGCCAGGCACACCACACCCCAGGCGCCAGCGAGCACGC